TGTGTGTGGACTCAAACAGGAAATGTCTGCACCTGAAGTTTTGCACCAACACATCGTCTGAACTGCTCGTACGTGTTAACACACTGAAGAACGGCTCAAAGTCTGGATTTCCTTTGTGAGAGCGATGAGTGTCATGACTGTTTGTTTTCACATTTAAATGAGTCGTGATGTGGGCGGGACTGACGGACAGACATGACTGAGGGCGTGGACTCAACATGATAACACCAACAATAACTGCGCGCCTGTGACATGAACTAATGTTAATGAGGCAGCAGCGTTGCCACAGACGTGAGCTTCGATTACATGGATGCTTTGCCTGCTGTGACAAGGCGACATGTCTGCTGTAACTATGGAAACTATTAAACGGGAAACAGTATGTGAAGAACGTCAGGACGTCACTGTGAACATAGTGCAGGTGTATACATCACGTGTACCCTGAGATTAACATCCACCTGAACACCTCTGAGAGCACGTCACTGATTACAAACACAAAGCTGTTCATTAAACTAGTCTGCAACCTTTAATCACAGCTCTGTGTAACGAACCTGTCAAACTCTTATTGCTCTGATTCATTTACTGTACGATAGAACAAACAGTTTGTGTTGGTATGACATGAAATCCACCCTGTAACAACGTCCACAGACACCACCAGAGCTGGAGACGGCTCAGTCCACCGTCTGTGTGGGGAAACACCCACTCACTGTGACAGCGTCTTCTTACGCCCAGCCCAGAGCAGCGGGTCCGCTCTGAGTCCACTCCACACTGGCGAGGCACACAGTTCAGGTCCGATTGACATGAAAGGAAACAAATCGCTACAACAGCTCGGTGTTGTAAATGTTTCCAGTCCTGACAGGACGACGTTCACAGAGCTCAGGCTGAAGCTTTTCCTTTGAAAGTGTAACCATGTACGTCACAAGACTTCCTGTCACCGTGTAGAAAACAAAGTTCAATCAACTAAAACCAAAAACGACATTTTTGTTTTATGTACAAATGTCTGCATGTTGTTAAAGGACCATGAACAGCAAACATGACGTGACATGATTGAGAAACTCATGTCTTCAGTTAATGTGGTCCATGGCATTTATCACGCTAATGCTGTTAAAACAGGCGCTGCCATCATCAGAGTGCTCGTGTGGAAAACTGAACATTTACAATATTTCACATTAAAAAGAAAACCAGCTCCATCAGGTCCAGTACGGCGAGGCTCAATCGAGAGAAATGATATCCGATGTGCCGCCGTCGGCCCCTCCTCCCGTGCCCCCGCCCCCTCCTGTGAGGACCCTGGTGTCATGGAAGGAGCTGGCGGCGTGGCTGATGGCATCATAGTGGCTGCTGGTTGCTGCAGCTGCATTTTGCATGCTGCTCGTCAGGTTATCCAAGAACATCTGAGGCGAGTAATGCTGCGCAGAGAGACACGCTGGTCAGATCAACGTCAGAGTAAATGAAAGTTTTACTGCATATAACATCTGTCAAAAACAAACAAACAAACAAAAACACAAACTAATTGACGTGCCATATGAAAAAGATTCGGACTTCCACACCTCCGTGGGATGGAGCTACTACAGCGCTGCTCCCTAACAGCTCCATATCCTGTCCCATTCACTCTTTTCATCTACAAAATAAAAGTCCTTTCCTCCTCCCTTAGTGTGCAGCCTCCTGTACGACTCACCACAACTCTGGTTGTGCATTTGCCACCCGTCTTCGCTCTGCATCTACTCTTCCAGCACACTTCAGTGGTCTCACAGAGGATTCAAGGTGGCGCACACAAGAGAAGCCCTACAGTACAGAGATCCCAAAGACTGCAAGGTAACATCAGCAGGCAACAAGGTGAGGAGGTAAGGAACAAAGTGGAAGGCCGAGAAGGTGACAGAGTCACGCCTAAGGCAGAAGACACCGGTGGGGGTCTTAGCAACAGGGGGAGCAGGCTCGGGGTGCTTCCCAAAGGCCCAGGCCTGCAGGGCACAGGGAAAGGAGAGACACCAGCTACTCCAGGAAGAGGTCCGAGCAGGTGTGGAGGAGGAGCGAGTAAGCAGGGCTGGAGGTCTCAGGCAGCAGGGAGCGTGGACAAGGTGGGAGAGCACCTTGCAGCTCAAGGTCACCTGGGCAAACATCATGCAGGCAGACTTCCACCGCATCAGATTCCTCGTGCAGGCAGCCTGCCAAGCCCAGTAAAGCTCCATGTGTGGGGGACGAGCAAGACACCTGCCTGTCCCCTGTGCTTTGCAAGAGGCACCATAGATCACCTCCTCAGCAGCTGCTCAAAGGCCCTGGCTGATGGTCGGTGTTCTTGGCGACACGACCAGGTGCTCAGAGTAGTTGCTGAAAAGATTGCCTCAGCAATCAGTACCAGCAAGCACCATCACGCTCTGATGAAGCCAATCTCTCTTATTAAGGCTGGACAGAAAGCCCAGGTGCGCCCACATTCAACAACCGGCCCCCAGACACAGCCTCTGATTGGCAGCTGCAGGCTGACCTGGGTAAACAGCACACTGTAAAAACATCCCTGCACCCACACATGATCATCATTTCTGAGGGCTCAAAACATCTGCTCATGCTGAACGCACAGTGCCCTGGGAAGAGTGGATTAAGCAGGTCAACAAGAGGAAGCACGCCAAGTACCTGGAACTAGTGCAGGATAAGGGGCTGAAAGACTTTCTATGAGCCCATAGAGGTGGGATGGAGGGGCTTTGCAGGATGATCACTCTGCAAAGTCCTAGGCCGGCTGGGTGTGGCTGGAGCAGCGAAGAAGAGCGCCGTCCAGGTTGTGAGCGAGGCAGCAGGGAAAGCCACAAGCTGGCTGTGGGTTAAGAGGGCTGATCCGTGGGTAGCTACTGGTGCGCAAGTCGGGGCCTGATCACCCCCAGCTGGGTCGCCTGGGCGAAGGTCTATGATGCTGCGAGACCCGAAACACCTGATGCCCCAGGATACATCACTGAAGATGCGTACCAGGAGATGTTTCCTGCATAGTGCCTCTGCCAACCTCTTCATTCGCACACTATGTGGCTACTGTGTTTGCATTTGAGACATGCTACTCTGCTTTCCACAGAAACATTTGCACAGACTAAGAGTTGTTGTTGCCGTGACGTGAAGTTAATCTATCGTCTAAATCTTTGCCACGTTTGGTCAGACCTGCTTACACAAAAGAGCCGAGCTTTGAATCTTGGAATTTTGTACCATTTGGCACCACATGTCAAATCCACTCTAACTGAAACAAACAGAAAGCCTGCATGTCAGGAACATTATGAGACTGCGTCACTGTGCTGTCAGTTCAGACAGCATTAAAAAAAGGAGGGAACATAAAACACATACCTGTGGATCAGTTTGAATTAAGGAAAACAGATCCAGACCTGAAAGACAGAAGAATGAGATTTTGAACAGGATCCATGTGCACATAGCTGACAGTCAGTGAGTGTTTCTCTGACTCACTCTGCATGTCTGTGGGGATGGAGGCCAAGGCAGAAGGATGGAAGGGGACTGCATAGTCGGCCAGTGTGGAGTTCAGATACGACGGGTCCAGGGCCTGGACGTTTGGCACTCGCACAGTGGGCTGGTAGCTCAACACTCTGAGAACATCAAACACACACATGTAATCATCAACATGCTGGGGTACAGCGCGGTCACACCAGGTGGTTCACGGGAAAACTGAAACATGGCTCACCCCTTTGCATGCATCTCCTCATTCTTGGAAATGTAGACGCAGCGTTTCTTGGGTGGAGGGTCTTTGTCCTCTTCATCATCATCAGAAGAAGAGCTTTCTATAGTCAGATCGATCACATCCGCCCTCTTGGTGCAGCTGGGCTCAGTAGAATGAGGGGCCACCGACGGTTGACGCAAAGGAGCCGAGGCTGAAAGGTAAAGGTCACCTGACATGAGTCTGCTCCTCCCGTCCCAAGAAAAGACCGACAGCAATCATTTTCACATCTTTCAACGAGCTGAAATGAATCTGGTTACTACAGGTGAGGTTTCAGCCAACAGATGGTTTATGGCTAAAATCAGCATGTATGGAGCCTCTCTGTAAGCTCTTTAGTCCAGTAGTGGACTTAAAGGTTGGGACACTGGGAGAAGATGATGGTCTGTTATTACTGATCCTCACTGGAGGTTTGTTGGACACGCAGTCGGTTTTATGCTGCCTCATCTTCCACCTCTTTCAGCTCAGTTATTGGGTCTGATAACAACACTGTCAAAGCACCAAAAACCTACAGTTTCATTTACAACACAATGACACAAAGATGGATTCATGAATAAATCCATTTCTCCCAGTTCTGTCCCAGTGAGATTAAAAGGATTTCTCAGTGCTGTGCAGACAACAATGAGTCTTTAACAGCTTTGCAAACATCCTTCACCCTTCTTTTGGAAACTTACAGGACTTCTGTTGACACAGGAACAAAACTATTTTAGAAACAGGGTCACGTGATCACCCCCTGATGCTAATAGTCTGTGGTCGTCCCAGGCCTTATCCTCCTTTCTCCATGACTCACATTCAAAGTTTCAGTCCTGCTCTGTATTATTGTCGACTCTTTATCTTACGATATAAAGCGCTTTAAGAAGACCTTTGTTTTGATTTGGTGATATATAAATACAATTTATTTATTTAACAAAGCTCCTAAATCAAAGCAGCCACTGACATTTGTTTTAACACACTAGCCTCTGCAGCCCTGACCACCATACAGGCCAGTGCTGTGTGCCCACAGGACTCACATATACATGAATCCACACCACCTAGAAGCTGCCAGGTGTGCAGGGCACGATACTTACTGTCCACCTTTGGAACGGACTGAGTGGGGATCTTTACAGCGTCTTTCTTTGGTCTCATTGGACACCACGTCCCATCCTCCTGGAACTTGATTTCATCCACGTCCGAGCAGTCGTTCAGGATCTCCAAGAACAACCTTTAGTACGAGAGAGGGAG